GACGGAATTCACAGTGGGTTGCCGTCTTCATTTTGAAGTTGTTGGTGACCTACCTCAATCAATGCAGCTTCCGTGGAACACATCGAGGCTGGATCAGAATCTCCCTCGATGTCGAGAGCCAAGTCACAGCGTGATTGAGCAAGGTCACTGCGGTGTTCTGCGAGTACAGGATTCACAACCTTGTGAATGGCGATGAGTACAAAATCCATAGCTTCGTGGATTACATCACGGATCGCAGCACGCGTCGAAGCTTTAAATGAGTCGATTGCAGCGGAGAGGTGTGCATCCATGGCAGGAAGACGGGTCATGTGGGCGTGCAAATGAGGGAAACCAAGATTTGAGAATGATGATACCATTGATACGACCCAATTCTCAATTCCCTTAATCAACCTGCAAGTAGCACAAGAAAGCTATGGAAGAAGAGGGAATGAGAGATGAAGGAGCAGAGCTCCAAATATTTTTGTATTTAATTTCTTTGTTGTAAATTCTGATCTGATTACAATTGAGGGAGCTCAGCTCCTTTTATAGACTTTGGACCTTTAGTGCCAGCAGGCATTTCTAACAGACTTCACTAAATATTAGGAATAAACCTAACAAATCCAATATTAAACTCCTAATAGTGATTAAGCCAATCATTAAATCCTAAGTTCATAACATAGTAACAGAGCAACTTATACTTACGTAAGGTGCAGCTATATTTGCAATTTGGGTGAATTGAATAATCTTTTATTAACAAATTCTTATGGGCTGAGAACACCAGCCCAGCGACTGTTACCGTGATAGGAGCATATTCATGCGACTTAAATGGCTTGTTCTCGTGCATTTACGTTATGTTTCTTTAGTTATTTTAGTCCTTTATGCTTCTTTTGTGTGTTTTCAGGTTCTAAGGGCAAAGTATGCAAAAGGATGCCTTTTGGAGCCTTTTGGAGCAAATTAGAGATTGGAATGGATATCATATGCTTGGAGCCAAGAGGATGGACGAAATTGAAGACTTGAAGTAGGAAAGTTAAATCCTAAAAGACCTCATGTCTGGTTATCATTGAAGACTCCTACGCATTTTAGAACACAAAAACAACATTCCTTGCAACCTTAGGAAAATGTCGTGTGTTTCCTTGTGTCTCCCTTCCTTGCCATGCAAGGAAGGGCTTTGTTTCCTGTTTTAAACCATTTAAACACAATCATAACCATAACCGTACACTTCACTTATCACAACAACAATCATTGCCGTGACTTCCCCCTTTACATTCCAGCCAAGCCACATGCTTTCACAACCTAATTCACATGCTCATGCATCCACCTTTCTCCCAAAAACCGTGCATATGCATATCAACACATTTCAGCCATTCCACATGCACTCATTGTCATTCCACTTCAACCCACATGCATTTCCAACCCACATGTCCCTTTAATTAATTTAACCTAGCTGTCATTGCACATGCATTCCTTTAATTCATCATTGCACCACAAATCATCAACACATGCACCCTTTAATTCATTTTCAGCAGAAAATCCACTTCCTTTGCCGTGCATATCAATACATTTCATTCATTCCACATGCTATTCAACCTAGCTGTCATTCCACTTCATTGCACATGCATTCCCTTCATAAATAATTCACATGCATTCATCATCATTCACCCTAGCTTTAATTCACATGCAAACACATTGCATTACCATTCACCACAGAAAAACACCATCATTGCCGTGCCTAATTCCATGCATTCCATCCATATTTCAGCCATTCACCAAAACAATCATTCTTAGCCGTGCATTATCCCTTTCATTTCTGTCAAAGCACATGCACTCCCACCCTTTAAGCACATGCATAAATCAGCCACATGCATCTCCCATCACCATTCCAGCTTTCCACCAAGTTCCTAGCTGTCATGTTCCCTCTTCTTCACCTATAAATAAGGATCCATTGCAGCCACAATTCATTCATTCTCATTCATACACATTTCAGTCACAACACCAACCATTTCCTTATTGCCGTGCTCTCCCTTACAATCCAAACACCATCCTTCCATTTTCACCACTCCCCAAACCATTCACACCATCAAACTATCCTTAGACCTTGTGCTACAACGAAGAGGAAGAGAAGAGTGCCTAAACGTTCATACAATTCAAGCTTGAGTTGTTGGAATGTTTGGGTGTTTCTTTAATTTCAATGTTTAAATTCAATTCTCTTTGTTTTGTACGTATGAGGAATGGAAGAGAAGAGTGCCTAAATGTTCATACAATTCAAGTTTGAGTTGTTGGAATGTTTAGGTGTTTCTTTGATTTCAAAGTTATGAGGAACTAAAACCCCCTTTAGCTAGGGGGGATTCGAAATATATGTTTATGCTTGCATTTTGATTTGATTACTTCTAATTGCGTTTCATAAGTTGTGGATCCAATTTGTTTAACTGTTTGATTGATAACTTATTTATGTATGTTTATTGAGAGTGCACGCTTAATTTTCATGCATGAATATGACGCTAGAATATAAGTAAGTTTCACCTAATAGTTACGAACTTATATTCACAAGTAGTGGAGGTTGCTTATAAACAATCGCGTTAAACGAATTCTTGATATAAGTTTCATGCGTATTCCATAGTAACGAATGCCTCGTCAACACTTATAATTTTCATAGAGCATAATGATTCTTGCTTGTATCTCTATTATGCAATCATGTAGGGGACTTGTGGGGAATGTTTTGGGTTGTCGTATGCAATCATCCAATTCAATAACGTTAGGAAGATTTGAAAGTTAATTTAAGCGGATCTAATTAACTTGGAGCATTGAGAATTCATGGTTTGTTGAAATGCAATTGGAAATCGTTTTATTATGCAAGTATAACATGTATGGAGATGAACCCCTTAGCTAGCCTTCATTCCATTCAATTCTATCACACATTCACATTTACATTTTGCTTTAATTTACAATCTGTACATTTAGTTTAATTTCGTAAAAATCTAAATCCCCCTTTACTTTATTGTCCAATTTAGTTAGAAAGTATCTTAGTTTGTGTTTATAAGAGTTTTGATTAAATTTATTTCCCAATTTCGTCCAAATTCACCAAAGTGCTCAAAACTGCCCAGAAAGTGTTTTTAAGGCAGTTTTGAGTGTTTTGGGTGATGTTTGAGTCTTTTGGTTTGTTTTAGTGTTTTAAGCGTTTAGCTTCGCATTCTTTGAGTTTAGTTTAGTGTTTTATATTGTGTTTTTACGTTTTTGAGTCAAATCCAAGTGATTAACAATCCCTCCTAATCCCCGGTTAAGAACGATCCCTACTTATACTTATACTACAATTGACAAAAAGAGGGTTTAATTTGTGCGCGTATAAATCTCGCATCATACCGGAATCTTGAAAAATTTCTTCTCATTGACGCATGACTTAAAATAGAGGAGAAATCATACGGTTTCCATTTAAGTCTTAGGAACAAGAGTGGTATAAGCTGGAAGTTGCAATAATGAAATTTTCACATAATTAGGACAAAGAAAGAAGTCTCACTTTGTAATGAAATTTCCTTCGATACGTGACTCTATAAGTCCCATAAATTCATAATGGTTTGAGCCAGTTAAATGACATTTCAACGTCTGACTAATGTTGTAAGAGGCTTGGGGAGACAGCCAAATATCATCATAGTCTGAGATAAGTTAAACAAATACAACCATTGCACACAAAGCCACTCCTACTATCTGCACAAATATAGACATAATACTACGTATTAGGTTAGATCCTTTATTTTATACAACACAACTAGGGCATTCGTTGATATGATTCCCAGTAGCAAATAAGCAAACCAAAACCACAGCAACAAATCAATAAGAATGCTATGCGTTGCAAGAAGGGATCTACAAGAATGACAGACTGAACGGATCTACAAGAATGGATCCTACTTCCCTTTTTCACACGTTTACATATAAAACCTTCATTCATAAATATGGAAATTAAGATCAATGAAAGGCAGCACAGACATGATATGAGCAAAAAATGACGCACTTACAGACAGACTGAATGGATTTCCAAGTTATCCATCACTGTCTAAAAGAGGATGTCATGAAGAACACCAATAATCTAAGCAAAGTGATTCACACAAAAGTTATGTACATTATCATTATTCATGATTACTTCCAAAGGAAACGTTTTTCAATATCAGTCCTCACTCCTCTGCAAAACAGATACGAGACAGTATATAGGGTGAAACGTAACCCGATTGTGGTACCGGTTTACCTTCTTAAGGATACAGTGTGGTTGTGGAAGTCAAACCGAATGTAGAATTACGACTCCTTAAATACCAATTTTAATAAAGGATTTGAAGATTGAGCGTCGTGGTAGAAAACCTTTTCCGGTCACTGTTGGACAATGACATTGAGACAGGAAAATTTGATCAATCGGTCGCAAAAAAAAGTTGACCGGTTGAAAAACGTGGTAGGATTGAGTACAATCATGTAGTTATTTTGAATTTTAGTAGTATTTATAGAACTGTTTTGGTTGACTTTTTCCATTGGTGCCTATAATTTTAGCTAAATTTTTTCTTAGAATTGGTACTTAAACTAAAAGATTCTTTCACTAAATCATTTGTTTACAATACATAAGGGTAAATGTAACCTGGTTGTAGAAGGAATCCTAAACAAATTACAAGTGTAAATTACTTGATATACAAGGAACCCCTAATTAAGGAGGGGAATCCGAGGATCAGGATTCTACTCTTAACACTTCAAAACTGTTAAATAGAAATTTTAAGAAGCAGCTCATTAAGCTGGTGAGCAGAGGAGCATCAAAAAAAAAAAAAAAACAAAAAAAAAAAAAAAAGAAGGTAGGCCATGGTTATCCATGCCAATGAGCAGAGGAGAAGACCAAAAATAAGGCAACCTTTTAAAGCTTGATAAGCTATAGTATACTCTTGAGGACCAGTTCTTCACTATAAACCTCAATTAAAAGTTCTTAGCTATATAACTTTAAAGTAAGAATTCAATATGTTACATTATTGCACTTTCTTGTTTACACAAGTTGATCATCACCTACCTGACAAAGAACATGTCAGCTCTATGTTAGAACATATTGGATTCAATTTGTCTTGAATATCACTCACATCCACAGGTGTCTCTTGTGGATACAGAGAAGGCCTGAGAGGCATTTGGAGGCATTCAACATCTCCTCTAAGCATCTCGATAACTTTGGACATTGTAGGGCGATCACTTGGTTTCAGCTGAATACACCACAAGGCTGCTATAATCATCTTTCTTATTACTTTCTTTTCCTCCTCTGTAACATTGTCCATGTCCAAGTCATTTCCCACAACATACTGATCGTGTACCCACAACGGAAAGTAAATTTGGCTTGACTGCTCTACCATTGCATTCAAATTCTTCCTTCGGCTTGCCATTTCCATTAACAGCATTCCAAAACTATAGACATCGGCCTTGTATGAGACTCCTCCAATATTTTTGTAGAACAATTCAGGAGCAATATATCCCATCGTCCCCCTTGCTGCTGTCAACGTGACAATGCTATTGTCTATAGGATACAATTTTGCTAGCCCAAAGTCAGAAACCTTTGCTTTGAAGTTCTCATCAAGAAGAATATTATGAGGCTTGATATCGAAATGGAGAATTTGCATTTCGCAACCTTGATGTAGATAGTCGATCCCTTGAGCAACTCCAAGAGAAATATCATACATTTTTTCGATACTTAAGTGGACACTTCCCTCTTTGGAGTAAATGTATTTATCAAGAGAGCCATTAGCCATGAATTCATAAACTAGAGCGCGTTTTGATCCCTCGACACAATAACCAATAAGTTGCACCACATTGACATGGTGAATCCTGCCAATGGTGGCAATTTCACTAATGAAATCTTGGCCATTAGCTTTGGGCTTGCCTAAAACTTTAATTGCTACAAAACGGCCACTGCGTAACTTTCCTTTGAATACGGAGCCATAGCCGCCTTCGCCCAACTTATGCTTAAACTTGCGAGTCATCTTCTTAATGTCTGAGTAGGAGTACCTTATAGGCAAGAAGTTGTTATTGGATTGCAGAAAGTCTTCTATTGTACTATACATTGACAAATGTCTTCTTCGCCATTTATAGACCAAAAATGCAGTCACAACTGGAACCCCAAACAATAGTCTTGCTGGAAAAAATAGGCCTGTATAAGAAATAAATCACCAAAAGAATCAGAAGAAAAGAAACTTATTTGTTAGATCCACTACTTTCAACTTTTTTTTCTTGTTTTGAAGTAAGCTTAAATATTCATATAATTACATTTTAAATAATTACTTTTTTTTTCTATAATGAATATCATATTGGTAGCTGTTTTTATGCATCGGCCTTATATTTTCTTTTGTTTCTAAATTACATTTTAAATAATTTCATTAAAATTCATGAGAAGTTGGATTCTATGCTAAATGTAGATAACACATACACACAGAGTAATACAAGCTCTTCTTACCGATGGACATGAGTATACCCCATCCACTCACTGCAACATACATAGCAAACAGTAAAAGCTAAATCAACGGCTGTAAGTTTGAAAAAGGAATAGCATGAACAAAATCAAAACTTGAATAGATGCAAGAAATGCAAGCTCTTACCGATGGAATGGAATGGAAACCATCGAGGAAAGTTTCCTGCAATCAATACCACACAAATTTCAGCAGCGACAAAATACTAGCTAGACTATTTTTGGGAAGTGCAGATAGAATAACATACAGTGATAAAGAAAGAAGTTAGCATTTGGGGAGAAAGTACTTACCAAAATTCACGGTTTCACTCATAGAATAACCTACAGTGACAAAAGTGAAAAGAAAAAAAATACAATACAGAACATTAGCAATGCCACAGTGAGTCTTTAGAGTTTAAAATATGCCATGTTTACTTATTAGAAAAGGTTTCATGTTCAAATTTAAGGACAATAGGCTTGTGTATACTCCAAACTTGTAATTATTGACTTTGTTTTCAACAAATGATATTATCGACATTAAAGGAAATGGGTTGGCTTAGCCTCACAATGAGTTAGTAATAATGTGGTTCAAATTCGTCTGTGACGAGAATCGAACCTAAGACTTCTCACTTACAAGTGAAGAGAAATATCACTAGACTATAGTACTAAGTAGCGTAAATATTGAATTTGTTAGAGAGAGGAGAAAAAAAAAAAAAAAAAGAGATATCCTTTTCTTTTCTTTTTATTTTTGTTTTGGAGAGGGACCACTTACGGAATTCATCCCATCGAAGTCGCAAGAAACCTACGGTAAAAGAACAAAACGACATAAGCATAACAACCCTTAGAAAATAAAATTCAAGTTGCTACCATTGTTGATACCTGTATATGATATGAAATAAAGCAATATAATTCATTTGTCATATAATTGATTGCAGATTTAGCATATAGTTCTGGGAAATGGTCATTATAGAAGGAAATCGAAAGTGTTTTATCAAAATAGAATAGAAAGTGTTATTCACGCATCTATTTTTACATCTCACATTTTTATTAATTTTTGCTCATTCTTCTTTAATTCATTAGATCCGACGACTGAAAATTGAGAGGCGTGTATGAGAAGTAAAAATGGATGTGTGGATAACACTAGGCTTTTTTTATTAGCACTCCACATAATATTGAATACACCTCATATTAAAATTTAATATTAAATGACTTATATACTCTACTATGCAACGACAATTTCAACCTTATAAGCTTTAAAATAAAAAGAAATTTCTAAACACACCATAAATCACTTTTAACGTATTATTATCTTCTTCAACTGTCAAAACCTCTCTCTTGTAGAATACCCTAACCAAGGAAAGTACAAACACGTTTATTGAGAAAATTTATTTTTGACGAACGGAACACAAAATCAACATTTCGAAAGCTTCACATGAAGTAAGACTTCATATAGAGTTTCCGACGACATCTCCCCATATAAAGTGAAAGAGATAAGTCTTTTGATAGTGAAAATTTAGGGTAGGATTGGATTCGTTTGATAAACGTTGAAGCTTTAAGTAGTCTGAATTTGCGAATTACATATACTGCAAACTGCAAAAGAATTACTATGCATACAAACTAAATACTTATTGCGGCCTGCCTATAGCAGGTTTCATAGGAGGCCCTTATTTTGCTTTTCAACTACTTTCTTGCGATTCCTAAGAAACAATAATGTTTTGTTGTGTGTTCACGGTCTTAGGAGGAATTTAAGGTTGTATGTCGTCGCATAATTCCTACAGGTCATCGAACCATAGTTGCTCAGAGAGGATTTTACTCCTAAGTTAATTTAATTTATAAAAATTAAAAATGGGTATTATAAGATGTAAAAAATGAGAGACGTGTATAGAAATGTGGGATGGATGTAGAAACTGTATGGTGTATGTTGAGAATATGGAGTGTGAGGGTATTATGGAAAAATATGTGAGGTGTAGTAAAATAGTTTTTAATTGAAAAAATAAATACGAAGTGTATTAAGTATGTGAGATTTATTCAACAATATATGATATGTTAATATAATAAATCATGTCGCTTTACAATAGGAATATAGACACCAACCACCATATACACAGAGTGTTGGTAAGTTCAAATGCCTAAATACCCTTGTATATAGCGCATAAACATCACAATATTTTATTGAGATATTATTGTTACGAAATTAATATGGAGATAATACAATATGTATTTAGATATTATATTGGCATTTATAGACATACGGCTGATGATTTGATATTCATAGACCATATTGATGTCTGTATCTGTTTCAATGTTTTAAAAGGCAGAGGGGTAGATGATGTGTTTTAAGATAATATTATTAAGTATATAGATTCTTTTTGTTAAGCTTATCTTTTAAGATCTAATAAAGTAATATAAAAAACAAGGGGCATTTAGATTTAAGTCCAAAAAATTGAGCTACTATCCGGAATTGGATCTTACCCGAGGCAATGCCTCGGGATCCTTCATCCTCCTGATCAGACAACATTGACCGTTGGATTTTGATCCAACGGCTACAAACATGGGTCCTTTTAAAATTATAATAATTGTAGTCATTGGATCAAAATCCAACAGCCGGTGTTTTCCGGTCAAGAGGATCCCGAGGCATTACCTCGGAGAGGATCCAATTCTCTACTTTCCAATTGAATTCAGTTCAATGTGTCTTATCAGTTTAGGTTCAATTGATCTTTTTTTTATACCCATTTTGCCCTTATAACTAAAATGAAAATATATTTAAATTTCTTGATTTATCCAAATTTTGATTCTTTAAAATGCCTTTAATCTATTCAATACCAAGGAAAAAAAATTAAAATCAAAATTCATGACACGTTTTATCAACAACAAAACCTATGTAATATAAATATCTAAATACAATATCCATCCTTGATAAAAGAAGATTACAAAATGAAAAAACATATGATATAAATAAATACAATTAAAATGTGATGAAGATATGTAAATAATATCTAATTAAAATATGGTGTAGCTAGATAATGCAACTAATTTGTGATGCAGGTAAACAATGCAATTAATCTGTGTTGCAGGTGGTTTACAAACAAAAAAACATATGATACATGCGTAATTAATCTCTGAAATAGGTGGAGTATTACCAAAAAATAAAAAAATAAAAAAAACTTATGGTATAAGTAGATAAACACAATTAATCTTAGATAGATTATTAACAAAATATATATAGGTAGATAGATACAATTATTCATGATATAGATACAATATAATATAAAAAGACAAAAAAAGGACAACAGATATAAGTAGATAAAAACTAAAAAAATAAAATAATATCGTGGAGAAAGATGATATTGAGAGGAAACAAATTCTAATTCAATAGAACTTCAAAATAAATAAATAAATTATAAAAAGGAGAAAGAAAAAAAAAAGATAAAGAGACGAAGAACCCCTAAATACAAGATTAACTAATGCAATCTCTTTTTTTTTTTTTTTTTTAACCAATCAAATTTATATTGATCATCCTTATGGAAGGAGGAGGAGGAGGAGGAGGAGAGGAATATTATGGAGAAAGATTACTGGGTGAAATAATGCAGGGAGAGAGATATTGTGATGGAGAAACAAGAAAAGTGAATTGAAACAAGAAAAGAGAAATAAACAGTTTGGGGCAGGAGACCAAAAAAATGAGGTTTACACCTTTAAAGCAAGTAGTCATTTACGATAATGGTGGAAATATGTCAAGCCTTTACATGATAATGTGTGTTTAAACTCCGTCAGTAGCTAATCTAATATCTAAAGTAACAAACTCTATTGTTTGACCAAAGAAAAAAAAAATCTTGGAATTAATCCAATAATTAAGGATAAAGATTAACAGTAATCACAATTTTTTTAAAAAAAGCAGTAATTACTTAATTAGTCAACTTAAGGATAAATTTGGCAAGAGAATACAAGGAAGCTGATGTGGACAATGAATCACTAGATCTAACTCAAAAATTAAACAAAATTGAACTATAACGTTCATAAAATTAGACTTACATTAAGTTCTCCTAAAAACAAAAACTTAACAAAAAAAGAATATGACAAAGGAATGTACTAACAGCTATCAGTAAAGAGCAAAAAGAAATTAAAAAAATGAAAAATAAGGCAAAAAGTTCGCCTTTTTTTCATTTTCTTGGAAGTGTTCTGCAACTAAATATTTTTCAGATTTCGACGACTTTGACGCCGAATTGAACACCCTAAGGCGCGACTCGGCCGCTCAGGCGTGCCCGAAGAAACCTAGGCGAGTTTTTGGCCGACTCCTACAAACAGGGGATTTTCCTCCCGCCCCTCCTCCAAAGCCGCCTAGGTATGGATATTGTGCAAGTAGAAGGAATGGATTGCTCCCAGTCACAAGCAAGAGGTTCTGCTAAAGGAGAACGTCACATTGATTGGAGATCGAAGTAGGAAAAAAGAGATCGACTTCGGTTCTTTGAGAGAGTGAGAGTCACAGATTTATCCCCACAAGGAGCAAATTCTCTCTACATATTGGGGAGGGATCGAGTTCGACCTCAATGGCAAGGCTTATATCTGGCGCTTCGCGATGGTCCCACTAGGAGAAAAAGGAGACAAGGAAAGTTACAATGGTAGCAAGGCTTAGGTCTGGTGGAGAGATGCAAAGAAAAATAGTGGTTGCTACCTAAACCAAGGGTTTATAAGGATGAATTTCCAGCCTAAATGAACTGTTCAAGCGATTTTCAATAACAACTGAATATCTTCAGATTGGGCAGCTTATGTATCGAGAGTGTGAATCTAAAATAATTAATAGCAGGTAATTTTTACGTGAACATTCTATATATATTCACAGTTTGGCAACAGACGTATGTATTTCAGAATTACGCACCTGAGATGGTGTGTGGAAAACATTTAAGATACGGAGTCTGAGCCAAATATGCGCCGCTGCAGGCTATATCTGCGGGCAGATATACACGAAGCTCAAAGCCATACATGAGTGCACTGTGTATATATTCATAAGAGGCATTGTAGTACTTCTTAGAGTAGTCCAAGGACATGAAAGTCAACCACTCGGCACTGCAACCCTCATTCAAATCCCCTACTTCCATACGGCTTGGGCCAACCTTGACATAACTATAAGATTTTGGTTGGATCAAAGAAGTGGCACTATTATTTAAGCATGGAGCAGCATCGATGTACAGAGAAGAATTAACTGGGTTTCTACACCTCAAGTAAAATATTGGTGTAGCAAGTATACCCGTGGGACCATTCCAACCATATGGCTCTCTTACTGGATAAGTGCCGAACGGAAAATTTCGAGGCATGGAAGAGCAATTGTTGTTCTCAAGGCCAGGATCTAGAAGTCGGATTGTTTGGGTAGTGTAGTTGATTGCCTGTACGTAGTATTTACCGTAATAATGTAGATCTAGTACTGTAATGTTGCTTTCACACGACAGAGTATACATTGGGTCGCCGCAGTGCTTCGGATCATGGTTCAGCCGAAAAGGATAGCTTATGTTGTGGACATGGCCGCAGAAGGATGTACATGATGAATTAATGCTATCAACCTTAGCGTTACAAATTTCACTGCAAAAGCAAAGAACAAGAAAGGCTGAAATTAAAGGCCACCAAGACAAGGTCAAGAATCTGCTTCCACTTGTTTCCATTGAGAGAGAGAGAGAGAGAGAGGTGTTAGTACATAAAGTAGTTTAGATGGTTCTATATATAAAGGACGACTCCAAATTAATAAGGTTTTTCGTTTTACGAAAATCGAGGAAAATATCTTTCATACATAGCTTTACTCTTTCTTTTGCAAAAAAATTGTTGCGTGTATGTGTGTGTATATATATATTATGATTAGTAAATGTAATCTAATCTTTGGTTGTTAGCTAATGCACCCTCCTTGAAGCTGCCGTATTGAGAGATATCCAAGAGGAAAAGTCATGCTAAGTTAAAGTCAGGCCCATGAACAGTAAGTAGGTCAATGGCTGACTTGTGTAATAATGGAGACTGACTTGCTGCACTTCCATGACAGTGTCCCGAACCAATGACATAATGCTTACGTGGAGAAACACTTCCACACTACTATTGATCCGTAATTACAAAGAAAGCACTTGATCCTGTTCCGGATATCATGTTATAAGTCCATCCAGAGATAACTAATCTTTTTACTTGTTTTGCATAGGAAAAACAAAAATTCCATGCGAATTAGAATTAGTTCAGAAATGAAGAAATTGGTCATCTCTTCCTTTTGCATATTTTTACTGGTTTTCTTCAAAGTAAATGGAGCAAGCCAAAATGCGTTCAAGGAATCCCAATGTGGTGATGATCAAGATCTGGCTATCCATTTCCCATTTCGTCACAGACAACATTGTGGAAGTCTTGGGCTTGAATGCAATTGGACATATGAGCAGTTGACGTGAAAACGAAGGTATTCTTACCTGAAATGGGTATGGTTGGACTCCTACGAGCCTCACGAGCATGAATATGTACTTTATTTCTTCGATCTGTGAAGGTTTGATGTGTTTATGTGTGTGTCCGTACGTTGAATGGAAAATGGGAAAGGAATGGAGCTCGGGACAGGGTGTAGGAATAGGGAGAAAAGGGTGTGGAGTGTGGGAAAGTGTGTGTGGCCCAAAACATGCCAACAAAACCCAAAAACATAACACAAAACGTAAAGAAATTGAACTAGGGGCAAAATTGTCTTTTCACACATACGTTTTTAAAATTTTCGGAACAGGCTGTCACACCGTCCGTCCAAAAAAGAAAAAAAAAACTAATGAAAAGGGCTTGAAAAATTTTAGTTTTAATAAAAAAATCATGTTATAAGTTTTGTTTAATGATTAGTATAAGGCCCATATTAAAGTAGTCCAACTAAAAATGGCCAAACTATAAACAATGATGATTTATCGATTTTACCATTAAGTTTTTTAGGTTGAGTTACAGATTTTCATCGTTAACGGAGTTCATTGTTGTTTTGCAGACTTTCTTATTTTTCTTTGAAACAAAAATATAGATCCTCATGCTATTTAATTTATATTTTGTATTATTTTGTTGAATGTGATCGTCGTTATTATTCATAGTGTATTCGAGGTATTCTTTTTCAATTTTTCTTCGTCAACGGAGTTCATCGTTTGTTTCTTCAGAAAATAAATTTGAGATCTACATGCTATTTAATAATAAAGACGGATCATTGTTTCTGGATTGGAAAAATAAACTGTTTATAGAATCTAAATCATTGTTTCTGGATCTAAATGAAATAGACACACTGTTTCTTAAATGTAAGCTAGAAAAGAAATAGTGAAATTCACTGTATTTGGATTCAAAGCAAAATAAGAACACTGTTTGTTAAAAATAATCAATTGATACATGAAAGAAGAGAAACAGTTAAAGTCTAAAATATAAATTGTTTCTGAAATTTAAGTCATTGTTTCTGAAATTCAAGTCACTGTTTCTGGAATTTAAGTCACTGTTTCTGGATTTTGGTTCTTTTCTTTCCAGATAGTATTTTTTTGTGCACAACCAAAACAAACACTGGATCTGATTTTTTTTTACAGAAACAGTGCTATGTTTTGGGTTCTCGAGAAACATTTTATGTTTTGGTTCTTTTTTTTTTTTTCTAGAAACTTTTTTGTCGGTTTCTGCCTTTAAACTTGTTTTGACAGCTTTATTCCGATGAATGCTTCCTTTTTCAACTTTGATTTGAACTTTGATTTGGTTGTTTTTGAAATGGAGGAATTCGATTTGATGGGAAGACATCGAGTTATTATGACGGTTTCGTGCTGGGTTGAGGTTGGTGAAGAGTCAAGACAATATCAAATCATTTAAGGGTATTTATGTAAGTGTAGATTTGTAGCGGGTTGGGCCTCTAAGTTTGACCCATGAACAATAGTTTTGGATGATTGTTTATTAAACTTTGAGCTTTTTTGGTTAAATAACATTTTGGGATGGTTTTTTTATTAAATATTTATTAGCTCATGCCCTTTTCATCAAAGTTCAAAAAATAAAATAAAATAAAATAAAATAAAATCCTGACTCCACCCTTGATTGTATGATTGACATGTGACACCCAATAGTGGTGTCCTCCCGCCGTAAAAGTCTTTCTCATACGTTGGAGTCACCGGATGTGCGGAATCAATTAAGAAATATTAATTAGGAAGATAGGAGGTGGAATTTGCCCATGTGTCACGTCATTACAACGGAGTAGGCTCAACATCTTAAACGATATCATAAGAGTGCTGGTTGAAAAAATGTACTTCGAAACAAGGACCCTACACATAACGTTCAGGATGTTTTCCTATGATAAGTTCCTATAAAAATATCATTTTCACTTAATAAAAATAAAAACTTACTAAATGATGTAACAGCCCGTCCCGAGAATTTTAAAAACATACTCGTGAAAAGACAATTTTGCCCCTAGTTCGATTTCTTTACGTTTCGTGTCATGTTTTGGGGTTTTGTTGGCATGTTTTGAGCCACACACACACTCCCACACTCCACACCCTTTTGTCCCTTTCCCTGTATCTGTCCCGAGTTCCCATTCCTTTCCCATTTTCCTTAAAACGTACGGACACACCCACACACCCATCAAACCTTCACAGATCGAAGAAACCGAGCACATATTCAGACTCGTGAGGCTTGTAGGAGTCCAACCATACCCATTTCAGGTAAGAATACCTTTGTTTTCACGTCGAACTCACGATGCCCGATTTTGGTACTGTTCATGCACACGAAATTTCTCACGTTTTTGGGAATTTCAAGCTTGTAGGAAGCTTGGTGAGGTCCCTAGGAGGCTCGGGGTGGTTCGTTTGAAGGTTTTGGACGTCGGGATCACGAGTTTCGAGGTTGGCCGGAGTTTCGAGGTTG